AGAGCATGAGAGGGAAGAGGGCAGAGGGGGAAGCAGACCCCCCACTGAGCAGGGAGCCCAATGTGGTACTCGATCTCGGGACTCCAGGATCATGACCTGAGCCGAAGGCAGTCGCTTAACCAACTGAGCCACCCAGGCGCCCCAGTCGTATCTATATTCTTTAGAGTTTTTACTCCAATCCCCCTGATATAGTAATTCTACTAAACTTTCCTTGTTTAAATGTTTAAAAACAGTTCTTTCCTTCTTTTACACTATGTGACATCTGTCTCCTAATTGGACCCTGATCTCGCTCTTTACCCTGCTTTATTTTCTTTATGGTACTAACCACTAACTGAAATTATATTATCTGTGTTTGCTTACTTTTTTTTTTTTTTAAGATTTTATTTTTTATTTATTTATTTGAGAGAGAGAGAATGAGAGACAGAGAGCATGAGAGGGAGGAGGGTCAGAGGGAGAAGCAGACTCCCTGCCGAGCAGGGAGCCCGATGTGGGACTCGATCCCGGGACTCCAGGATCATGACCTGAGCCGAAAGCAGTCGCTTAACCAACTGAGCCACCCAGGCGCCCCTGTGTTTGCTTACTTTTTAATTACCAGTGTCCTCCTCTAGAATATAAGCTCTATGAAGCCACTCTGTTCACTACTGAATGAATTCCTAGTACCTCGGACACAACATATTCATGATAAATACCTGTGAGTGATCAAATAAATGAACTGTTGGCCACAGTGGACCAAAATATCTTTTTAGAAGTTCAACTCTTGAATTATATCAAATGAAATGATGAATGCCCCTTGCTTATATCTGCACATGCTCTCCCTCTTATACAACCCCCATTCACTCATATTCTGTGTCTCTGCTTATAGTTTCCTTCAGTCTCCACTCTAAAATTAGTAGATAACCTCTGAGTGCAAAAATTCCACCTTACTGCCATTTAAACCTGTGAGGCTCAAGCAATACAATACAGAACTCTCCCAACACATTCCACAAGGAGCAGAAAGCCACTACTGAGTGAGGTGGGAGAGATGGGTAGCTTCTTTTTAGGTTTTACCCATAAAGGTTGGCAAGCTTCCAAATAGTAACAGTTGTTACTGCTTGAACTGGTAGTAAGTTAAAAACATCCAAAATAATCTTACTAATAATTTTTTCAGTCCCATTACTTTAAAACATTTTTCATAATAGAAATCTGTTACTTTTTTTAAAACAGTCCATAACTTCTTAATGTTCACCAATCATTCCTTCTGAGTCTCTCATTCTCTCTTATGTATACAAATAAAAAATACTAGTCGTCAATGAATCTTTCAACATTTCTGTAGGCTCATCTAAGGTGGATTTTACTCCTATTCTGCCACAGTTGTGGCTTGTTTTTACTTGAGAATAGTGTAATAATGCAATGGTTGCTGGGAAGTTCAAAATGATACCCAAATACCAAGTTCTGGATGCTCAAATTCATCCAGAATAGCTAGAAAGCACTAGACCAATACTGGTTTTGCTCCATTTCCTTATTTCCTGATTTGTCTCTGCTGATTTCAGAGGGATAGAGAAATAGAAAATGTCAAAGGGCATAAAAAGGTGGACCAGATAGGTATGAGGTCTTTTTTTTTTTTTAAGATTTTATATATTTATTTGTCCGAGAGAGAACATGGGCAGGGGAGTGGCCAGCAGAGGGAGAAGCAGGCTCCCCGCTGAGCAAGGAGCCTGATGTGGGACTCAATCCCAGGACCCTGGGATCATGACCTGAGCCAAAGGCAGCTGCTTAACCGACTGAACCACCCAGGCATCCCCCCTTTTTTTTTAAGTAGGCCCCACGCCCAGGATGGAGTTCAGTGTGCAGCTTGAACTCACAACCCTAAGATGAAGACCTGAACTGAGATCAAGAGTTGGATGCTTAACCGACGGAGCCACCCAGGCAGCCAGTATGAGGTCTTTAGTGGAAATCATTTCTTGGTCTTCTCAAACAATCTGAAGAACAGAGACAAAGGTAATAACACTAACAAAACAATGACCTCCAGTTCTTTCCTGCTTTTGTAACTACTTAACTTCAACATACACTATCAAATTTCAGTTAACAGTAAAGGCTGTTCCTCACTATCAATGGCAAGAACTTGCAACTTCCACAACCTCTTGTTCCTGAATATCAGGTTTCTGCAGTTGCTTCCAAGTTAAACTGGTACCTTCTGTTTAGGACTCGGTTACACTTAAAACAGCTTTAGGTAGTCCAACAGTATTCTCTCTGTCCCTGATTCTGGCAATTGACTGCCTACCAGAGCCAAAGTAGCTATAGGAAATGTAAAAACAAAAAAGAAAGAAAAAGAAACTTTTCAGGGGAGAATATGGGAAAAAAATAAAATATGTACAAATGTTTTAAAGACACTCTGGATCTAAAGACATTTCTGTTGTTTGAATCAATAACATATTTAGTATAATTTTGATTGCTCAGAATATTACATTTCTATAATCATGAGAATGGGGGTGTTATTTCATTTTTCTTCATTTTTGTCATACTACAGGTTTCAAGAAAAACTAGTCATATAAGTAAGTCTTCAGGAATATTAAGCCAAGATTTTCAAACTGCAGTTGGTTTTTTCCCCTTACCCTACACTCAAGCTAGAGGAGTAAATTATTTTCCACAAGTGAAAAAAAAATTGCATAAAAAATTGCCTGGTTTCCAAAACATCTGCTGCTTCTAAAAGGTCTTAATATGATTTTCACTCAGATAGTATAAATGCTAAATTACCTCAACAGAAATTCAGCAAAATCTATTTGAAGGAAACCAGAAACAACCATAAATAGCAACTTCTAAAAGATGACAGTAACTTGCTTTGTTTTTTCCATTTAACATCATTGTTTAATATTTAGAATTTTACCTTTCATTTCATTGTTAACACTGCTTCTGGAAAAATCTGTGGGAAAGTAATAGAGACAGACTTCCTAAGCAACCAAGCTAAGCCCTAGACAACATTAATCCAGAATTGTTCACAGACTTGCAAAAGGGTAACATTTTGATATAACACTAAATATTGTACCATCCTATATTAAGTGAAGTGCTGATGACGGAAGACTGATCTGGGAGGTCTGAAATTTACGTTAACATGCGTCCCACCTCCAATAATGGCTAGCTTTGTAATTATGGATAAGAAATCTAACCTAAGCCTCAAATCCTCATCTATACAATGATGAGGCTAAAGTGGATTATCTCTAAGATTCTTTTCAGGCATAATTCTTTATCATTCCCACCATTTCCATTACATATTCTAAGGATTTCATTGATTCATCAGACATTTATTAAATACCTACTGTGTCCTTGGCACAGGCATGGTATCCGCCCTCAATGAAGTTATATTTCAACTGTCCCATTATGTAGTAGAAAATGAGTAAAACATAAGCTTAGACTGAATAATAGGATAAAAAAGAATTATTTTTAAATGGCCATACAAGCCAAAAAGGTATGATAAAATCAGCTTGGGTGGGGGAGAGACTCTCAGTCCAATCTCTAACATGAATACAAGGCTGAGTAACAGCAGACTGTGCTGATCCATCCCTGTCAACTTTTAATCCTTCTGACTGATGAAAAGCATGAGACATCTGTTTATTTTTAAGTGTATGCTGGCGGCTGGCTTATTTTCACTTTTCTTTGTACAACTGTACAGAATTCATCAAACGCTTAATACACACCATCCAGCTGATGATACTGACCTTCAAGAAAATTAAGTCCTAGGGGGGGTATAAAAAAATGAACAAATGACAGTAATATGAGAAAGAATATGGTGTTACAGTTGCCGAAAACTTCATGTACTCAATACAGTGCTCCCTCTTAAGATTAAAAGTAAGTAAAACTGAGAGCTCCTACAATAGGAAAGGAAACGAAAAGAAAGGGAGAAAGAGAGGAGGTAACATTTACTCAGCACTTAACAGGTGCCAGGCACTGTGAGGGTAGTTTTCACTTACTCTTCTCCAGCCCTCTAAACAAGGAAATATCCCAAACAGATGATCATCTACAGTAAGAAAAATCCACCCCACTTCACAAAATGATTCCAACAGCCTGAGAGTGCATTTGAATGCAAATGCACTGTTTATGTAATAACTATTCTGCTTAGAATCTTAGTATTTGGAACTAGAGGAGTCTTGGATCACCCAGGCAACCCATTCATCTTAAGGACGATGAAACTCAGGGGAGACAAGATAAGGAGCTTGACCGAAGTCATCCCTGTTTAGTGGCAGAGTTGGGATCAAACCAATAATCAAGGCATCATATACCACTCTCCCAGCACCTGTTCAGTGAAATTTAGTGATTCATTTTGGCTTCTAAGTTACTGAACACCTATTAGAGCACTTTTATTAAAATAATCATAAAAATCCGTTTCTACAAATGGCTCAGCATTTCCAAAGAATGATGTACCATATTCTACATAAAATTCCGAGACCTATTGGTAACCAGTAACCTGCGTTTCCTGCGTTTGAACATTTGCCTATATTCCTGACTGCTCTCCTCATAAAGATTCAGGTGCAAAGCGGAGTGTGTTTTTTAGAGAATCAGGTCGCTGAGGTAAAGGTTTCCCAGACAAACCCCCGCGCCCAGGGCTGCCTATGCACTCAGCGATTCGTAAGCCGCGAGCCCGGAGGGAGGACGAAGAATGAGTGTGCAGTAACGTGGCTCCCCGTGCCCTCGGCTCGTCGGCCGCCTTCGTCCTGCCGGGCCGGTTCCGAACGCCGACGGGGCCGGACCGTTACGGGCCCTCCCGGGCCGCGGGGCCCGGTGCGGACCGCCCCTCCCCCACCGCGGCCTGAGCCAGCGCCGCTGGCCGGGACCCCCGCGGCTCCCCGCGCGAACAATACAAGGAGTCCCTAGCGAGCCTGAACGCCGGGGCCCGCGCCACCCCGCCACCCCGCGCCGCGGGCCTCGCAGAAGGCATCAAGTCGCAGGCCGCGAGAGACAACCCCACGGGAGCGAGAGAGAAGGCGGTTAGTCAGGGGGTTCGGAGGCCGCCGTGCCCTCACCCGTACCTGACTCCAGGTGATGAACTCGTTAGTGTGGGTTTCCTCCACAAGCGTCCACAGCTTGCTGAGGAAAGCCGGCACGTTCGAACTCTGCTTCATTGTTAACGAGACGCAGGGATTCCAAATTCTACACCCGAACACGGCGGCGGCGGTAGCGGCGGCGCTGGCGGCGGCGGCGGCGGCGGCGGCGGCGGCGGCTGCTGCTCCGGGAGAACGCCCACAACGCAGGCGCAGGAGCAATCGGGCCCCGCCCCCCCAGGCTCGCCGAGCGCGCAGCGAGGCGGGGTGGACCGGCGGCCGCACATGATGGACAAGTCTCGGCGTTCGGCCCGTGCGCGCTCGTCCCGCGCTGGTTCCGTTTCCGACCAATCCCAGGCGCGGACCGCACGACAAAGAGAAGCGATAGGATGCTGCGACGAGGTGGGGGTGGGAGCAAAGGGGGCGCTGCCTTCTCATTCGCCTTTTATACAGGAGCCGTCACTGTAGCGGACCTTAGGCTTAGTGGACTGTGTTTGGTTGTTTCACGTGGAAACCGCTTTGGGTTTCTGAGCTGTGGCTGGGGGGCTACAGAAAGTCCTCAGGGGTATTTCAGCCATCAGTTTGGCCGGCAAAGTGTGGTTTGGGCCAGTCAGGAGGAAGTATAATAATTCACATGGAGGGTGGGAGGAGGGTAGGGAAGCAGCTTTCAAACATGATGCTAGGCCCCAATTTGAAACTGTCTTAAAAATAGTAAACCCTGCCCTTAAATTTTCATTAGGAGAAAATGGTTCCATTACAATACGTTTATCAAAAAGAGGAATTTAAATATTAACTCACTCTTAATTAAGTATGTACTACAGTGAACCAGGAACGGCAATAGGCACCTTACACGCTGTTTTTAATTCAACAGTGAATGCCAACTGTATGCCTAGCATAAAAAGACATAGTTTCACTTGCACTCTTTTAATAAATTAAAAAAATTATTTGTGCATATACTTAACAAGTATATTCTTGTTTCCCAGAGATTGTCTGATATAGTGGGGGGAAAAAATTGGACAAGGAGTCAGCATATCTGAATTTAAACCCAGCTTCAAGGACACTTCAGTGGATATTAAATTACACTGGTTCTGTGTAATTTAGAGTAATCCCTTATTCTGTCTGTGTAATCCCTTCCCTATTTCCTCATTGGGAATAAGACTACCCCTCTTTTTACCCATGTAAGATAATATTAATAGGTGTAGCAATATAAAATATTGTACAAAATTAAACTTTTTTTTTTTTGCAAAAGTCAGCATGTGAATGCAAGAATTTACAAAGAAGTCAGAGATAACATTTTATACAAAATTCACCACAGGATTGGTTTATTTCCTGGGTGCATGTAAAATAATAAATAAAAAAATTAAATACAGGCAATTTCCAGTGAGCAAATATTTATTGAATAGTGACATCGTGTTCAGCCCTCGTCTGCTTGCTGAAGCAAAATCAGATATATGGCAGGACACATCCAATATATCTGCATTGAAGAACTAATATTTGAGAGCACTTATATATGTCTAGGGTTTTATATATATTATCTCTCCTAATTCTCACAACAACCCAACAAAGCTGATCTTATCATCCCATTTTTCCAGTGAAGATTCTGAGGCCCAAAAGTGAATTAATTTACCTGTAATGCAGCTAGTAAATGAGAGAGGGAATTTACACCCAGGGTTTATTAAGCTCAAAAGCCTGTGCTCTTTCCATTGCGTGATGATGACACCACCTCAATGTTTAAGATGTTTATATTCTAACTCGAGAAACAAGATAAACACAATGACCAGCAATTATTAATTTTTTTAGAAAAAGCTAAATTGACGCATTAAAAATACTAGGAAAGTTTAGAAAGGGTTAAGTAAATTAAGGTAGTAAGAGAAGACGTCTTGGAGGATGGTGACCTTAAGTTGGGTCTTGAAGTACAGTTGCATTGGGATAGCTGAAAGGAAGACAACAGTGAGCAGAAATGGGAGGCTAATGAGCATGATCTGTCTATGGAGGGTAACAGCTCAGAAGGTAAGATTGGTAGTGTCTGAGGGGAAAATATGGCCTACTTTCATGGCATTGTATTATTTCCATCTAAAAAAAAAAAAAAGATGTGTTTAGATACAAGGAGAAACTACTCTTTGGGCATTGGACCTGTGCAGTTATAGGCTCTTGAGTTAGTAGGGCTCTGTACCTCAAACGCTTGGTTTAACTGCTCTTCTGTCACTGTCTTGAAATTCTTCATTTTTCAACAAGGCACACTGCATTTTAATTCTGCATTGAGCACTGCAAGTTCTGTAGCTGGTCTGCTTTCAGTATATTGCATCTCATAGACCAATGGTTCTCAAACTTAAACATGCATCCAAGTCACTTGGAGGGGGGACACTGTCAGTATAAAAGATAAACAGGTATCATGTAGATAGTATTTATCCACTCATGAAGCCAGCTAAGGGGATAAGTTATTAACCAGGAAACCCGGTGATGTGACGAGGAAATAGATGGTGTGTCTAAAATCACATGGCTTTGGAATTGAAACCATGTTTTTTGTACTCGGAAACAGACATTTTTCCCCTTATACCAGTGTGCCTCAAACTTTAGCCTATGTCAGAATTGCCGGGAGGGCTTCTGAAAAAACAGATTTCTGCTTTTCTTCCCACTGCACTCAGTAGGTCTGGGGTTCAGGCTAAGAATATGTATTTCTCACAAGTTCCCAGATGATGCAGATACTGCTGACCCTGAGAACCACCGTTCTAGAGAAAAAATTAGTAAACTGACCTTCCTTTGCTAACGTGTACAGACTTGTTACTCACCCTTCACCTCTTAACACAATCCAGATGTTCCAGAATAATTTAAACTACTGTGTTTTCTTTTGCGTGAACTTAATTCTTAATATTTATTGTAATTATTAAACTTTTTGAAAACTTTAAGTACTGACTAGAGACATTTTGGGGGGAAGAGAAAATTATTATTGACCCATTTGCACTTGTATGGCACTCAGTTATAAAACTGAGAAGGGAGGAAAACCAAATCAAACTAATTCACAGTTATTTGCCACCTACAAATCCCATAAATATAGGAAGAAACAGATTTGACCCGATGCCCACAATTTTGAAATGTTTACAATATTAGAGGATAAAAATGTCACTTTCTTAAAGTGAATTGCCTCCTGTTGACTCCAAATTTTAAAAGTTAAAACATTTCCATGGCTCATATCCAGTCTGAGTGTAAGATTTAGAAGATCTAGAATAACATTAGAAAATATGAGTGACCTAGGCTTTTACTTAGGAAACAGAAAAGCATATTGTGGAACACTTTGATGCTTCAAAGCCTCTGATTCAGATTGTACAAATTCTATCTGATCAATTATGCAAAACTAGTTGGAATCAGCAGTACAAGCAGAACACTATTTTTATTTTATTTTTTTTTTAAAGATTTTATTTATTTATTTGAGACAGAGAGAATGAGAGACAGAGAGCATGAGAGGGAGGAGGGTCAGAGGGAGAAGCAGACTCCCCGCCGAGCAGGGAGCCCGATGCGGGACTCGATCCCAGGACTCCAGGATCATGACCTGAGCCAAAGGCAGTCGCTTAACCAACTGAGCCACCCAGGCGCCCAGAACACTAACTTTTAAAGATTATTTTCAGAATAGCCTGATAGAAACCAAAGGTGAACTGCACAGAGGTTTTCATCTACGTCCTATCTGGACAAAGTGTTGAGTTTCTTCAATTTTGGAATGACCCAGGCGTCCTTAGGCAAAATTACTAGACACCTCCAAGTCCTAGAGGCTTATACATAAAATGTGAGTGAAAATACCTGTTATACACCTTCACAGAGTGGTTTTGAGGATCAGATAAATTACTTCTTCCTCCAGCCCGCCTCATAATCTTGAGATATATTTCTGAAGCAAAAATCTGAAAAGGTTACTTCCTGACTTAAAAACAGTCAGTAGCTTCCCATAAATTTCAAAATAAATTCAAACTCCTTAAGATGGCATAAAAGACCTTTTATGCTCTGATGCCACCTATCATTCCAGTCATTGGCTACCACTCTTCACCTTACTCCTACCCTTCGCCACACCCAACTGCTTGATACCCTACTGGTCATGTTCTTTCACACTTCTACATATTTCCACAAGCTGTCGCTTCTGTGTGGAAGCAAATTCTTCTACCCCATTATACCTCACATTTCTCCTTAACCTTCAAGGTCAAGTACAATTCCATACAGAAGTCATCTCTTTTATGAAACTTCCTGGAGACCTTTATTATAGCACTTATTACATCATATTGTAATTATTTACATGTATTTTTTCACACTAGACAATGAAACTTCAACATAAAGACTATGTCCTCTTTATATTTATTTTCATCTGCAATGGCTATCACAGTGTCTTGTACATGTTCAACTCTCAATAAATATTTGTTGAGTTAATCAATGAATACATGAACAGATGAGTGTTAAGACCATTTAGTTTTCCATGGTTCCCAAATTTGGGGTTAGTTGCTCCTCTCATATGCTTCCATAGCATATGGAACTTGGCCCTCATGGTTAGACCACACTGCTGTTGCTCATTTACTTCTGAGCAGCTCTCACTGGCCTGGAAGATTGTGCTTACAATGTTCACTGTTGTATCCTTAGCAGCAAACATAGTCCTAATAATATAGGAACTGTTCAATAAATATTTGCTCAGTGAGTAATTTTAGCTTTTGAAACCCTTTGGATAGAATGTACTCTACCTAATAGTAAGGAGACTCCTTAAAACTTATTAGGTCTCAGTCCGTGTGAACTTAGTTGTTAAGAGAAGAGAATGAAGAGAAGGACAACTTAAGGATAGCTCAACTGAGAGGCATGTGATTGAGGAGCGATTAGTGGAGCAAATATCAGAATCCTGAAAATGCCAGACATTAATGGAATGTTATAGTCCCAGGCTTGAGGTCATTTGTCTTTGAAACAAACAACACTTTGGTAACAATGGCAAAATGCTTAAAGACCATATAGTAGGCTTTTGAATAAGTAGAGAGCTAAAAAAAAATTTGTGAAAGTTAATTTCTTAAAATTTTTAAGTAGATCAAAGAAGAAACTTCTTTTTTTGAAGGCTACAGCTTAGGTGCCCAGACCCTGACTGAATAAGCCTTTTAAGTAGGATGTGTGTTAGTACCACTTGTAGCAGACTGGGGCTAGGACTGCTCTACATGAAACTTCCACTGTATGCCATATTTG